ATGACCTGAGCTGAAGGCAGACGCTTAATTGACTGAGCCACCCAGGCACCCCTATACTTTATTTTTAAGTAGTCTCTATACCCAATGTGGGGATTGAACCCACAACCCTGAGATCAAGAAATGCATGCTCTACCAACAGAGCCAGCCAGGCGCCCCCATTATTATTTCTTTTTTTTTTTTTTAAAGATTTTATTTATTTATTTGAGAGAGAGAATGAGAGATAGAGAGCACGAGAGGGAAGAGGGTCAGAGGGAGAAGCAGACTCTCTGCCGAGCAGGGAGCCCGATGTGGGACTCGATCCCGGGACTCCAGGATCATGACCTGAGCCGAAGGCAGTCGCTTAACCAACTGAGCCACCCAGGCGCCCCCCCATTATTATTTCTGTTAACAACATAGAAGGTGAGAAAAAGTTTGAGATGCTTTCTTTTCAACTAAAATATTTCTGCTGTTGTTCTGGGAGTTGTTTTTCTTAGAGGCAATTGCCTTTTCTAACAGGGATTGAAGGGCAGAGATTTAAGAGATAAGGGATTAACTATTAGCATGGAACAGGAAGTAGAGGAGCTTTTCAGTTTCTCTTAATTATTTTGTTTGTTACTGTACAGACCATCAGACAAGACCATGTGCTAATGTATAAACAAAAATGACATTCTATGGCCAAATATCTTTTGGACTACCTATCATTGGATAGGTTTCATATTATATCTTACTTCATAATGTCCAGATTATTTTAAAAAATGACTTTACTTCTAATACAAGATTGAGCTTTCAACTGATACTTGATCCCTACAATGAATAGCCCAAGTAATGCTAAGTAAAAGAAGTTGTATACTTATTTCTCCTTTCTTTTCTTGGAAATGTTTTTCTTATGTTATCAACCTCATGGTGTTCCTGAAAATAAACAAAAAAAAAAATCTAAAAACTAAAATGCGGGGGCTCCTGGGTGACTCAGTCAGTTGAGTGTCTGCCTTCAGCTCGGTCATGATCCCCGGGTCCTGGGATCCAGCCCCGCCTGGGGCTCTTTGCTCAGCCGGCTGGGAGCTTGCTTCTCCCTCTCCCTCTGCCTGCCACTCCCGTGCTTGTGCTTGTGCCATCTCTCTCTGTCAAATGAATAAAATCTTTTTTTTTAAGATTTTATTTATTCATTTGAGACACAGAGATACAGAGAGAGAGCATGAGCAGTGGGAGAGGCAGAAGGAGAGGGAGAAGCAGACTCCCCACTGAGCCAGGAGCCTGATGTGGGGCTCGATCCCAGGACCCTGGGATCACGACCTGAGCCGAAGGCAGAGGCCCAACCATCTGAGCCACCCAGGCGCCCCTAAATAAAATCTTAAAAAAATAAAAAATAATAAAAACTAAAATGGAGAGAGAAAATTAAATAAGGCAAATTGGAAATATGCCCCTTAAACAATTCATGTGGCTTTTGTGCTAGTATATAGACTACCATATGATATAATGAATTTAAGGAATAAATTTGTTGTGGGACAAAAGAGAAAAACCAATATCATTTATTCATTTAGAAAGCATTTATTAAATGCCTGGTAGTGTTAAAGAATGTGTAAGGAGCAAAATATAGAAGAACCATGTCTTCCCCTCTGTAAATTAGTCTATTGGAGAAGAGAGATAATTAGTGATCTTTGCAAATATATTTCTATTAGCTCTGGTAAAAGAAAAGAATAAGCAAGATCTTTAAAAAGTGTAAAGACCTTGAATTTTTTACAGGATGATATCAAAAATACTTAACAGCTGTTAATGCCACCAACCAATGAAAAGTTGGTCACCCCAAATACTGGCTAAACACTGGCCTTGGTTACATTACTTAGGGGTTTCCACTGATAGTATGTGGAATGGTAGTGTAAAAACAGTCATTCTAAATAAGTTTCTTTCTAAGTTGTTGGTAACAGATATAAAGTTAGTCTAGAAATATAAATAGGATTTGAGAAAAACTCAGCTAGATTTTAAATTTTTGATATTTTTCATTTCTTAATTTTTATCATATTTACTTTATAAAATTTTTTTAGATAATACAGTCACATGATTAAAAAAATCAAAAGGTACAAAAGGCTATTCAGCTAAAGGAGTCCCTTCCACCCTGTCCCAGACTCACAGTTCTCCCTGGGGGAAACCAATATTGCCCCTTTTCTTGTGCATCCTTCCAGATATACTATGTATATAATTTTTTAAAAATTTACTTAGGTAACAAATATCCTAGACTGGAGCTTGTAGGCCAGCACAAAAAAGAACTAGTGACCAACTAAGACAACCAAGAACATTAAGAAATAGTATTTTAGGGACACCTGGGTGACTCAGTCATTAACTGTCTGCTTTCGGCTCAGGTCATGATCCCAGGGTCCTGAGATTGAGCCCCGCATTGGGCTCCCTGCTCGTTGGGAATCCTGCTTCTCTCCCTCCCTCTCCCACTCCCCCTGCTTGTGTTCCTGATCTCACTAACTCTCTCTCTGTAAAAAAAAAAAACTAAAAACTAAAAAAAAAAAGAGTATTTTATATTAATCTTAGTGCAACGGACTGAATGTATCCCCCCAAAATTCATACGTTGAAACCTAACCCACAAGGTGATGGTACTAAGAGGGGGTTGCTTTGGGAGGGAATTAGGTCAAGAGGGTGAAGCCCTCATGAATGGGATTAGTGTCCTTATAGAAGAGACCCCAGAGAGCTCCCTCTCCCCATCTGCTATGGGACACACAACGAAAAGACTGCCATCTATGAACCAGAAAATGGGATCTCCCCAGACACCAAATCTGCCCATGCCTTGATCTTGGACTTCCCAGCCTCTATATATGAGAGATAAATTTCTGTTGCTTATAAGCCACCCAGGCAACGTGTATTTTGTTACAGAAGCCCAAACTTCTCTAAGACAGTTACTGAAACTCCTAGGAAAGGGTATCCTGTCCACTGTTATATTCCAGGTCAGAGATGTTCCCTTAAGGAAAAAGCATAGACTATATGCTTTAAAGATGGGATATTTCAAGTTGATTACACATAACAAGAGTTAAGGAATCTAAGTATACTTTTAAAAAAATTTTTTAAAAGATTTTATTTATTTATTTGACAGAGAGAGAAACACAGCAAGAGAGGGAACACAAGCAGGGGCAGAGGGAGAGAGAGAAGCAGGCTTCCCGCCGAGCAGAGAGTCCGATGACGGGCTCGATCCCGGGACCCTGGGATCATGACCTGAGCCTAAGGCAGACGCTTAACGACTGAGCCACCCAGGTGCCCCGGGCTTTCTTATTTTCTGATATGTGTATATCAGATTGTAAATTTTCTCTGAGTACAGCCACCCAAGCGCCCTATAGTTTTTTTTTATAAAGTAATCCTGATTTCTTTTTAAAACTAAGATATAGTTCACATGCCATAAAATTTGACATTTTAAGTGTACAATTCAGTGGCTTTTAGAATAATCAGAAGGTTGTATAGCCATCACTGCTATCTAATTCCAGAACATTTTCGTTATCCCCCAGAAGAAACCTTATACCCATTACCATCAATTCCCCAGCCCCTGGAAACCACTAATCTATTTTATGTCTCTATGGATTTGCCTATTCTGGACATTTCATACAAATGGGATCATATGATATGCGGCCTCTGTGTCTGGTTTCTTTCATTTAGCGTATTATTTTTTAAAAATATTTTATTTATTTGAGAGAGAGAAAGAGAGAGCGCATGTGTGCGCACACACACACGGGGGAGGGGCAGAGGCACAGGGAGAGGGAAAAGCAGACTCCCTGCTGAGCAGGGAGCCCAAGGTGGGGCTCCAACCCAGGACCCTGAAACATTGACCTGAACCAAAGGCAGATGCTTAACTGACTGAGCCACCCAGGCCCCAGGACCCTGGGATCATGACCTGAACCAAAGGCAGACACTTAACTGACTGAGCCACCCAGGCGCCCCTCACTTAGAGGATTATTTTTAAGGTTCATCCATGTTATAGCATGTATCAGTACTTTATTTCTTTCTCTTACCTTTTAAAATTTTCCTACCTCTTAAAAATTTTAGTAAAACATATGTAACATAAAATGTACCATTTTAACCATTTTTAAGTGTACAGTTCAAGGGTGTTAAGTACATTCACACTATTGCACAACCATCCCCCCATCCACCTCCAGAACTTTCTCATCCTCTTAAACTGAAACTCTGTACCTATTAAATAATAATTCCACATCCCTTGGTAATCTCTATTCTACTTTCTGTCTCTATGAATTTGACTACTCTAGGTACCTCATGTAAATGGAATCATACAATTGTTGTCCTTTTGTGTCTGGCTTATTTCACTTAGCATATTGTCTTCAGAGTTCATCCATATTGTAGCTTGTATCAGAATTTCCTTCCTTTTTAAGGCTGAATAATATTCCCTTGTATGGATAGACCACATTGTGTTTATCCATTCATCAGCTGATGGATATTTGGGTGTTTACACTTTTTGACTATTATGATTAATGCTGCTATTAACATTCATGTACACATTTTTGCATGACCGTATATTTTTAATTCTCTTGGGTGGTAGAGACAGGTGGGGCCATAGAGGAATTTGATGAGTAGTTAACATAGCTCAGAGACTAATCATGCCCCAGGGAAGGACAATGATCACTGGGACTCTGTGTCTCCTTTGAGGAAAGGGTGAGGATGCTTTCAGTTGTATAGAGGATAGTTGTGTCTTGTTAAATAAAAGCATAAAGTTGTTACAGTTTTCCTTTGGAAATTTAAGTACAGGTAGAAGGGTGTGTAAGGTTGCTAAGTAGCCCAATGGATGAACTGTGCTAGTTACCAAGCTGCCATCTCAGATCCAACTCCCCTTTATAAACCCTACTTCGTGAGAGATAGAATGCTATTTTGTGAGTATAGAACCGTTATTGATACATACAGAGAGTACCAGTCAAATTTCTCAGGCAATGAGTGATCATTTATTACTTTATGTTCAAACTGAATTCTTTGGGCTCTATGATAATGTGACATAATAGAGAAGGAACTATATTTTAAATGGTTACCCATTTTCCAAGCAGAGCTCTTCTTTCTTCAAATACCTACAATAAATAAAAAGAATGGAATGATTTTATATTTCATGGTTCAAAATACCCATTATAAGAAAGATATCATTAAAGTATCAATAAATAAAAATTGACAGTCTTTTCATTATACAAACTGAGTATAAAAAGACAGATTTCATTCCTGAGAGGGTACTTTACTTATTTTTAACTTGGAGACAGTATCGTTTTTCTCAGTTTATCCATGTGGAATAATTCATCTTAAAGAAAAAGCAGTGCTTTTTTTAAAGGGAAGAATAAGAAAAGAATGGAATGGTAAAGTGAAACCATTTTTGGAATTTGAAAGGAGATGAAAAAACGGACAAAGGAAAAACAGGAAAATGGGGATCCTCCCCCAAATATCAATAGTATGAGAGCCTGTGAAATTTATGAATGAGCAGCTCTGTTTTTTATATTTCGGTGTGTACACAAATCATGGGTGTACATGCACTGATATGTTTGTAGGATTAGAAATTTGTGTATGTGTACCTCTGGGCTTACAACTCAGTGTTTATCTGGATAGGCTTGTTATTATATACTAGTTAGCACAGACACCTTGTCATTTTTACATCTCTACTGTAGAGTACATAGCATATTACAGGTACGCCTGTTTGCTGGATTGAATGAATCGGTTGTGATAAGGAATATCCTTACGGATGTATCGGTACAATGTGAGTGGATTTCTATATTAGTGTAGAGGTGTTTTTCTGAGCCTCAGTCATATGTGTATTTGAATGAATGAGGAAAGGAGACTGATGGGAGAATGTTTGGCAGGGGAGGGAGTTATGGAGAGAGGAAGCAAGGGAGAGTCATGGACAGATGTGAATGCCTCTCTCAATCCCACACTCAGCCCCTCTTGTCAGCTTTCAAAATTGGGATTGATGTTTTTCCCTTCCTTTTAGCATTGCCTAAATTCTCTAGTGCTGTAAGAATGTTCCCACTTGGAGACTAGCTAAGGCTCATTTCTTCCCTTTTTATGGAGGAGGAGCTGGTTTTATGCTTCTTTTTTTTAAAGATTTTATTTGTTTATTTGACAGAGAGAGAGAGACAGCAAGAGAGGGAACACAAGCAGGGGGAGGGGAGACAGAGAAGGAGGCTTCCTGCGGAGCAGAGAGCCTGATGTGGGGCTCAATCCCAGGACCCCAGGATCATGACCTGAGCCAAAGGCAGACGCTTAACGACTGAGCCACCCAGGTGCCCCTGGTTTTATGCTTCCAACAAGATAATGCTTTCCTTCCTTTTTTAGGCTCTCAAACGCTAGTTTGAAAGGGCATACAAAAGGGGGTTTGAAATAATTGGTTCAACAACAATCTCAAGGTCAGTGAAACATCAGTTTTGCTCCTGGCCATAGAATCTCCTACATTACAGGTAGACACTTTTCTCACATTAGAGAAGAAAAAGGATCCCCTTCTCCCCTGCCCCCTATTAAACTTCACCTGGGCTATTAGGACCCTCAAATAATGGCACAGATAAATGTGGGATTTCTGGATGAAAAGAGAAGAGAACCTATAGAATATAGAAGATTTAAAAATGTGGATTCAGGTATTTCCCAAACTCTTGCCCTTTGTCTAACCAAAGCCTATCAATCATCTGTTGGTCGATCCAGGTCACCAGCACCAGCATTTCTCAGATGCCCAGGGGCTCTAGCTCCTCCCAACTCATATTCCAGTTATAGTCCATGCTCCACGTGGGCTTTATAGGGTTTGCTACGGCTCTCTCATTGCCTCTGGTCATTTCATCTTCCCATGTGGATTACAAACACTTTCTCTATAATCTGTCTAGGTTGCAAGGCAGGCCCTCAATAAACACCTGCTGATTGAACAACAACAAAAAAGCTTCAAAAGTCATAGCATTTTAAAGCTAAAAGGAACCCCTAAGATCTTTTCAATTTCCTTATTTTAGAGAGGACAGGAAGAGGCCCAAAGGCTTACATTTATAAATTTTTTTTAAAGATTTTATTTATTTATTCATGAAAGACACAGAGAGAGAGAGAGAGAGGCAGAGGGAGAAGCAGGCTCCCAAGGAGCAGGGAGCCCGATGCGGGACTCGATCCCAGGACCCTGGGATCATGACCTGAGCCGAAGGCAGACACTTAACCATCTGAGCCACCCAGGCGCCCACATTTATAAATTTTTAAAAATCACTGGTTCCAGGCTGTCTGTTCAGCTCAACTCTGTACTGGGTTCCTCACTAGAACCATGGTCTTCCCTAACCTGACTTCCAGCTGTACATTTGCAATAACTGCTGGGCGAAGAAGAAAATGTTATGTCCCAAGACCACAACCTCTTTTTAAAAGGAGTATGAGATGACCATCATGGCACCCAGTGACAATATGGGGTACTGGAAACAAAGGGGCATTGACTTGAAGAGGAGAGGAAAGTTCGCGAGAAGGTAGCAGGAAAGGAATGGGGTGGGAGGTGGGGAGTGTTACTCAGGCAAAAACAGTAGTTTTTTGTTTTGGTTTTTTTTGGAGGGTGGGGAGGGGCAGAGGCAGAGGGAGAGAGAGAATCTTAAGCAGACTCCACGCCCAGTGCAGAGCCCAATGCGGAGCTAGGTCTCACAGGCCTGAGACCATGACCTGAGCTGAAATCAAGTCAGATGCTTAACCAACTAAGCCACCCAGGTGTCCCTAAAACAATAGTCTTTAGAGGGCCAATGACCAAGTCTAAGCAGGTCCAAGCAAATTCCGTTCTTACAAAGGCATCTAGACCCAAATAGAAACTGATGGGAGTGAGGGGGGAGAGGAAAACCAATAGACAAGCTCAGGTCTGGTTCTGACTCTACCCTTGCAAGAAAGAGAATTTGGGACACATTATTTGTCAGGGTCTCAGTCAGTCTTACATTCCCTGGTTTGGAGCAAGTCTTCATTCCAAAGATTTGCAATCAGTTTGTCATCTTAAAGAGCTGGAAAACAAAGTATTGATTCAAAATAGAAATATAAAATGGATCTTCTTTCCTCGCAGAGCACTGCAGTTTGTTTATATCACAGTTTACTTGGAGCCTGCTGTTAAGTCAAAATCCTACGGTTGTTATTTTAGTCTGTTGACAGCGCAGTTACATATTTCACCATGTGACATCATTACAGTATAGGAGTGAGACATTTAGGGGCTCCTAAAATATGACTGATTAATGGCAACGAGGTGCTTTTTCTCAGAACACCTTTTAACATGTATGGTACTACATCTCGAAAAAGAAATGTTGGTTACTTTCAATTAAAACACTAGATGGCAGGGGCGCCTAGGTGGCTCAGTCGGTTAAGCGTCTGCCTTTGGCTCAGGTTATGATCCCGGGGTCCTGGGCCAGAGCCCCGTGTTGGGCTCCCTGCTCCGCGGGGAGTCTGCTTCTCCCTCTCTGCCTGCCCCTCCCCCTGCTTGCACTCTCTCTCTCTCTCTTTCTCTCTCTCTCTCTCTCTCTCTCGGTGTGTCAAATAAATAAATCTTAAAAAATAAATAAAACACTAGATGGCAAAGAAATGCATACTTTAAAAACATTCTTCCTCTCAAAATTCGTAATGCCCAAGTTATTTTGAAATCTGTTACATTTGCCTGTGCTGATCATGCTCTCTTTGAAGGCATCTGAATTTGAATTCAATCTCTCTGCTTCAAGCCTGCTGTGAAGTTCAATTCCTGTACCCCGATGAGCACCGAGTGTTGTACGGAGGTATTGAATCACGACATTGTACACCTGAAACTAATATGACACTGTATGTTAACTAACTAGAATTTAAGTAAAAACTTAAAAAAAAAATCCTGTGACCCTTTTTAAGACTGAAATAGTTACATATTTTATATTTTACTACAGAATTGAAGAAAGACAAAATTAAAACAAAAATGAAACAGACAACAGAACCTCAAAATTATACCAATCATTGGTGACACATGCCCTATTTAGAAGTATAGAAAAAACCTTGAAATTATTGTATGGACACTTCTGACCAGCTATATCCTTGGTGTCTATTTTTAATGCCTTTTACACAGTCAGAATGTTAGATCTGAAAGCAACCTTTGAGGTAATCTGATCCAACATACTTATTTTATAAAGGAGGATGGTAAAGCCCAGAGAAAATAGGTGACTTACTCAAGTCATACAGGAATTTATCAGTGATCTGGAACCAGAATTTTCAATTCCCAGAGTTATTGTTCTCTCTTTACTTTTATTTATATTGTTTTTAGATTGTTTTCAAATTTGGAATTTTAGAAATTGTATTGCACTATGTAAAGTAAAAAATGAAAGCTTTCTTCTTATAGGACCACCTCCCCCAGTGCCATCCAACTCTTCTGGGGAAACCACTATTAATAGTTTGGTATTGGGGCACCTGGCTGGCTCAGTCAGTATAGCATGTGACTCTTGATCTCGGGGTTGTGAGTTCTAGCCTGACATTGGGTGTAGAGATTACTTAAAAAAAATAGTTTGGTATACCTGTATACAAATTTTATGTGTATCTATGTACACTTATACATATACATACATGTATATACACATGCACAGATTAAAAAAATAATTTTACTCGAAACCAGAACCTAACAAAACCACAAAATAACTTTTTGATAAAAAATGAGAGGTCTAGGAGCACCAGGGTGGCTCAGTTGGTTAAACATCCGACTCTTGATTTTGGCTCGGGTCATGATCTTGGGGTTGTGGAATCACACCCCGGGTGAGGCTCCTCGCTCAGCAGGGAGCCTGCTTAAGATTCCCTCTCTCCCTCTCTCTCTCTCTGCACCCCCCTCAAACCAATAAATCTTTTTTAAAAATGAGAGGTCTAAAGAACAAAATAAATATTATTCCTAGAAATTATTATTTCAAGACAAAAGCTATTAAAAAACCAAGATAAGACAATGTAATGCTGGCTGTGATGCACTGTCCAGGATTTATTCACTCACTTGGTGGGGAGTGCTGCTGGCTGTCAGCTATGAGCTTGAGAGCTCGGCTTTGTTCAAGGTCAAGCCCTTCATGGGGCAGCTAGCATCTACTGAATGGAGTGTAGAAGTATATTTTTTATTATTTATTTATTTATTTATTTATTTATTTATTTATTTATTTATTTATTTAAGTAATCTCTATACCCAACGTGGGGTTCAACGTGGGGTTCAAACTCACAACCCTGAGATCAAGCCAGCCAGGCGCCCCCAGTATGGAAGTATAAAGGCTGGTGGCTACAGGGTCAGGTCTCAAAACCCATAGCCATTTCTCCCCTCCCCCACTCTTCTCCCCTCACCCACTTCTCCCTCCTTCCCTTCCCTTCTCTGGTGCCAATCCAGAGAGCCTTCCACAATCGATGCCCTACATGCTAATCTCAGAGTCTGCTTCTCTAGTAAACCAACCCGCAACAGGCAATCAGGCAATTAAGATACTTTTTTTTCTCCCTAGCTGCTAAATCGATCAACACTTTGAATGTTTCAGAGAAAATCTCTGAAATCAAGGCATCCAACAAATCGGTATTTCAAGTCACTTTTTTGCATATGTGTAAAGCCTTCACAATTCTAGGAGAAAACAGATTTCAAAACTACACACCGAAGTTTTTTTAGGGGGAGGGGGGCAAAGCAGAGAAGCTGTTATATAAACTGTTGGAGTGCCAAGAACACTTACAAACAGGTGCTCAAAAAACAGTTGTTGAGCTGAATATAAAGGGCTTTCAGCAGACTCGCTTGTGTTCAGGGCCAGATGAAGGCCAGACGTCTGTCTCCCATTCTCTGCCTTTCCTTTTGTTTCTCCTGGCCCCTCCTCTTATTCTATGTCTCATTCTTCTTTCCTCACTTCTTTTATCTTTTCCTTTTCAGTCTCTCTCCCCTTTATTTCTCACAATTCCGATCGCTACACTCGCTGCTCTCTCTCTCCCCAGATTGCTCGTGTTTCACATCCGAGGAGTAGTACAGGAAAGTACTGAACAGGAGGGGTGGGGACTGATGCTCTTGTTTTCCCAGGGTGATTAGCATATCTGTTTGGTGTAGAGGCAAAGGGTCAAATCCAGACTAAGGAAGGAGGGACGGAGGGACTGGAAGGGGAGCGTCAGTGAAGGAGGTCCCAGGGAGGGTGGCTGAACCCTGACTCCATCTTTTGTGCCTCAGGAACTCTATCAGGCACTGGAAATACAGAGAGAAAAGACAGAATCTCAACTCTTGACACATTACAGTCGAGTGGGAAAGTGGGTAAACAGTGATGAGAGCAAAGAGAAGCAAGCTGGAGAAGGCTTTCCAAAGAAAATGACATTTGAGTTAGCTCTTAGGGGAGGCAACAGGGGGAACAAAGGAGTGGAGGTGTGAGAGAGTATGGCTCATCTGGAGGCCACTTAGTTGTTCCGGACCTAGGATGGGAGGAAAGCAGTGACAGGGTTTGGAATTAAAAGGCTGGCTGAGGTCAACTTACAAAAGGTCCCCTGTGCTAGGTGTAGGGGTTTGGAATTTACTCTTTGGAGCAGAGTCTGTTATCAGTTTCTCATTAAAGGATTAGCTTGGTATTTTATTTTATTTTTTTATTCTACTTCTTTTTCTTTTTTTAGTTTGGTATTTTAGAAAAATCACTCTGGGACCAGAACAGAAGATGGACTGGTAGGGATAGAGGCAGTGAAACCAGTTAGGGGTTACAGCGGTGCATCGGGCAAAGGGTAATGAGGGTGTGAATCGACAATGTGAAGCCGGAGGCATATAGATGAATGAAGGAAAGGGGCCCAGAGGAAGAGGAAGACTTTTAGAACTTGAAAATGAATCCGATGTGGAAGTGAGGGGGTGCTGGTAGACACACCTTCCTGAGCCTCCTTCTCCCACTCCTAAATGTCTTGGAATACCAAGAGTGCTAGGTGTCCATTGCTTTTTCCTTGGGCCATTTCTTGCCTTGGAGCAAGGCAACCTTGAGTAATGAGGTACTATCTCCCTTTGGGACCAAGAACAGGCTCTTACTGCTTACTATAAAAGCAAAGGATTCCCTGTGCTCACTGTTCTTCAGTTGTGATACAAACCCATGGTGTATGTAGTATTTTTCTGGGCCTTCTGGAGTCTTGTGGGACAAGGTAGGCAAAGAGGACCAATGCAAACATGATGCTCCTGCCACTTGCTGCACGGTGAGTAACAAAGATTTTTGTCTCTGATCCAAGAATCTTGTGTTTTCCTATGAAACGGTAGTGTCTCCTATGCCATAAGTAACAGGCTAAGTTCTTAGCTTGTATATTGGGGAATACCAACCCAGGGCTGGCAGGGAGAAGGATAATTTCTGGCTTGAGTGACTTGGTGTCAAGTGGTGCCTTTTACCAGGAGGAGGAACTGGTGTGTAGGGGCAAGATAATGAAGTCGGTCTCATTGATGTTGATTGTTTTTTACTGACAACTAGGTGTAGTCCTTATAATAGGTATTGATAACAGGAGCTCATTGACCTGTTGGTAAATTCTGCCCCCAACTGAAGCAGGAATAGAAATCCCCAGAGGCTGGCCAATCACACCCCAGCCTGACACTCAGCTTCCCACCTCTGCAGTCCTTTGGTGTATTCTGTTAGTGCTTTCCCAGAATGCAGGTAGGAAATAAACTTCTTAGGAGAAGCCAAGTAATGCGAGTAATCAATTGAGACTTACTCATTTTATTTGGTTAAATGGGAAGCGTTATCCAGTAACTGCAACTCTAGCAAGAAAATCTTTTTCTGGGAAATCCTCACAGACTACCCTCTCCTCTCTCATTCCTGGTGGTTCCAGCAGAGAACCAGTGATGGAAGAAAAAAGGCATTTGGGATGAGAGCTAGAGGAGGAGTGACAGTAGAGGAAAGAACAAATCTAAGACATTTTCATCATGGTCAGGGATTCTGTCTACTGCAAGGGCTCAATAAAAGTTTTTGAAAAAATTCTCCATTTGCTTTTTATTATAACCCATTACACAATCCTCAACAATTCCTGTTAATATTTTGATAACTAACACTTTAATACTTTTCTTTAAGGCATGGATGCGATAAAATAGCTCTGGTCACTTACCCGGTCATTCAAAAGCTGATGGTTTAGAGGTGTCCAGGTACTCATCTTTGTCTGCATTTTGGGACCATCTATGCTTTTTGGAGGTGCAAATGCCATCATGAAATAACGGAATATTTTTCCATAAGAAAAACCATACCTATCAGAAGAAATGAATCTTATAATCTTCAGAATACTAAAAGTACTAATACCATACCATCTTTTAGTACATTGAGAGAGAGAATTGGGAGGGGGGAGAACATTTACCTGGAGAATTTTATAGGTCAGGCACTTTATATGCATGCTCAATTAAAGCTCATAACAATCTGGCAAGGTGGTGGGTTTTAGCTCATTTTATAGATGAAGAAAATGAGGTTCATTGACGTTACACACCCTGCCTAAGTTTATACAGACAGTAGGTTGTGGAACTAGAAATCAGATCAGGTCTATTTAAATCACTCTTCGCTAAGAACATACCCTAATGGCCAGAAAGAAGTATTTTAATTTGTAAAATCATAGTGCAATAGAAAGTACTCCATCCTGGCCCCTTGTGTCTTTCTTCCTCCCCCCTTTGTGATATCTAAGTAACAAGGGTTCTAGCTTGATACCATATTTAAGAAGTAGAATGATATAATGGACAAAGCCGAGCCTTAGAGATGGACAGATTTGGGTTTACCGGGGGAAATGTGCTATTTTTAGATGCCCAGTATAGGTTTACATTCATTTGATTAAAACATTTTAATTTCCATGAAGAACTACTTTCCCCTCATTGTTTAGAATATGCTGGGTTGGTTAATCAAGGTGGCCTCACCTTCTCCAGCTAAGACGTGGTCATGAGACCAAGCTAAGCCAGTTGGACTGACGCTAGCTCATCCTAAACTTGACAGCTGAGGTGGTTGTTCACAATAGCATCGATGCTCTGTTAAGTTGCTTCTGCTGCCTTATCCCTCAGAAGCCCCTTGTCCTTTCTTGCCCATTTTTTGTGAGCCACCTGATATCCTTGCAGTAAATTTCTTCTTCCCACTTACTTACATTGCAAATATTACATTTGCTTACATTAAAAAATTACAAAACTTTTTACCTTTATACAGGTTTGATCCTGGCTTTAAAACTTACTAGCTGCATAATGTTTTGCAAATTATTCAGTCTACCTGAGCATTTAATCTATTTGCATCTACCTTCAACCACTGTTTCAAAGATTGGAGAAAATGGGTCCAGCAGAGTGCCTGACAAATGGGCAGTTTCAGTAACTATTAACTTTCCTGCAATCTTTCTTAGAACTTTACAGAGTGCCTCAAAACCTATCAGAGGGGGGCGCCTGGGTAGTTCAGTTGGTTGAGCATCTGCCTTCAGCTCAGGTCAGGCTCAGGGTCAGGTTCCCTGCTCAGTGGGGGGTCGGCTTCTCCCTTTCCCTCTACCCCTCTCTCTGCTCATGCTCTCTCTCTCTCAAGTAAATAAATAAAATTGTAAAAAAAAAAAAAAAAACTATTAGAGGGCCATAGCAAAATATTTTAGGGTGGAAAACATTTAAAGCAGATTGATGATAGTTTCAATATTACATCCTCAGAGTTTCTGCTTGCTTCTGCCTTCCTTCCTCTCTGAAGGTGGGTTTCATATCAGAAGGTGGTAGTGGTGACTGAGAGAGCCAGGGCTTACCTGCATGATCTATGGGCTCCAAAAATTACTCTACAGAAGCAAAGATTAGACAATTAAAAAAACAAACAAACATTACTTTTTGGCTGATATGGGATTCCCCCAAAAGCTAGATCTGAAATCTTTGAGGCTCTCCCTTGACAGGTAATATTCGCTCTCAGGTTTGAGTTATAGCGGAGATAAAGCCAATGTCTGAAAACCACAGGGGCATCATTACACAATCCTTCTTGGCAGTTGCCTACTGCCACCAAACCACTGGTATAAAGTGGACTCACATCAGCACTCACGTTCTTCCCAACCTCTAACACCTAATTATCTGAGTCACACATGTTTAGCCAAATTGCAAAAGGTATAAGAAATTATTTCATTACAGTATTATTAATTGGCAGCTATAAAAGTATGTGTGAGTGGGCAAATTATAGATACAAATCATGGTCTCTGAGCCTAGATCTCCCCAGTTAAAAATCACATATTTCTTTTTTTTTATATTGTTCTTATTTATGTCTGATCTTTCCTCTTTAAATCAGCTGTTGTTTTTAATCTTTTTTTTTTGAGAGCCATAAAACTCTTCGAGAACATAATGAAAGCTATGAATCCTTTCCCTACAAAACTGCACATGAACATAAAATTTTGCTTACCCCAGGTGAAAAACTCCCGCTATAAGCTGAGAACTTTCTAGTTTGTGGAGGAAACAAGCTAGGCACAATTTCTGAATTAAGACAAAGTAGCTTCTCTTGGGCTTTCCTAAGGCCCTGCACTGGATGTTTTCTTTTTCCTGGTTCCTAACAGAAATTATTTGAATTAGACTTTCTTCAGTCAGCTTGGTTTTCAGGAGATGGGACTGGCCAAGAGAAACAGTCCTCTTGGTAATATGGTCCTGCTGAAGCATTCAAATGGGGTTGTCCTGCCCTTGCTTTCGTCATTATCCTTTAGTGGTTTTTTCCTCCTTCTTCCATTCCAGAAGATGGGCACTGTGCATATCTGCATGCACACACATGTTCACGGCATAAACACTCAGGACGATTACAAAGACAGACATTTTTATATAACATACACAAGAAAGAAGTGTCCCCACTCTGTCAACAAGACAAAGCAAGGGCGCCTGGGTGGCTCAGTTGTTTAAGCGACTGCCTTCGGCTCAGGTCATGATCCTGGAGTCCCAGGATCGAGTCCCGCATCGGGCTCCCTGCTCAGCAGGGAGTCTGCTTCTCCCTCTGACTCTCCCCCTCTCATGCTCTCTATCACTCTCTCTCTCTCAATAAATAAATAAAAATCTTTAAAAAAAAAAAAAAAAAAAACAAGACAAAGCAAGTTGTCTTCCTTTCCTTCCACATATAAGCTTGCTGTTGTTTTTGGTGTGACCTCTTTTCACCTTCATGGCTGTCTTTGAATGTTGATCTTTAATTTTTCTCTGAATGAAATGGAAGAAAGGGGTGCCTGGGTGGCTCAGTCAGTTGAGTGTCTGCCTTCGGCCCAGGTCATGAGCCTGGGGTCCTGGGATTGAGCCCCGCATCGGGCTCCCTGCTTAGTGGGGGGTCTTGCTTCTCCCTCTGCTCCTCACCCCACTTGTGCTCTCTCTCTCATAAATAAATAAAATCTTAAAAAAATATATTAAAAAAAAGAAAAGGAAGAAAGAGGGTCTTTGGCCCTAATCCTCAATGTATGGTTCTAGTTCAACAGCCAGGATGGGTCCTCTGGTAAAATTTCAATGGTCACAAACCTCCAATCCCATTTTCTGAGCCATTCCTCACACTGCAACCATTATTTGACTTTACTAAGGACCTATTAGTCCTGTGTCAGGGGTACAAAGATAAGAGCCTCTGCTTTAATAGAGCATGCAGTCTACTGTTAGAGAGGGTTTTTTGTGGTTTTTTTTTTTTTTTGCAAAAAAATGTATATACTTACAGTGTACAACTTGATATTTTGATATATGTATACATTGTGAAATGATTACAAAGTATTTAACACATCCATCACCTCCCATAGTTACCATTTGTGTGTGTGTGTGTGTATGTGTGTGGTGAGAACACTTGAGAACTACTCTTACTAGTTTTCAAGTATAAAACATATTATTACTAATTATAGTCACCATGCAGGACATTAGATCTCCAGAACTTACTCATCTTATAACTGAAAGTTTGTACCCTTGGATCAATGTCTCCCCATTTCCCTCACCCCCCAGCCTCTGGTAACCACCATTCTACTAAGGGAAATATTTTTTAAAAGACCAGTTGAGGGGCACCTGGGTGGCTCAGTGGGTTAAGTCTCTGCCTTCGGCTGATCCCAGGGTCCTGGAATGGAACCCAAGTTGGGCTCTCTGCTAGGCGGGGAGTCTGCTTCTTCCTCTCCCTCTGCCTGCTGCTTCCCCTGCCTGTGCATGTTCTCTTTCTCTTTCAAGTAAATTAATAAAATCTTAAAAAAAAAAAGAGACCAGTTAATTGTGTCACTTTTCAGCTCAAAAACCTTCAGAGGCTCTCTGATGGCTACAACATAATCAGAGTCCTTAGCGTGGAAGTCTAGGTCCACTATGAATTTACCTCAATCTACCTTTTCAGCCTCATCCCCCGCTCTCTCCCTTCTTGCACTATCTGCCCAGACACAATGAACTTTGGTACAAAACAACTAGTACAGAACTCTGATGCTTCTTTCTTCATGTGGTTTTCTTACGTTGCTCATGTGAATCCTAATCCCAGTGCTACATAATTGGTGCTCAAATATTTGTCAAATCAACTGAATGAACGAATACAATAGTGGAGAAGAAGCAGTTTAAAGATTAAAACTAATAGAAATGTAGGATAAAACTCAGAACATTATGCATTGAGCACTGGAATTAAACTCAGGACTATCGGGGTTTTATTTGGAATTTACAGAGCAGAATAGGATTGAGTTTCTCTGCCAACACACATTGTACATTGCAGTATCATCAGAGAAGAAAATTATATCATCATGAAACAAGATATGGTTAGATTTAAATACAAATTCATCTTATAGTCAACTAGTTAGAAACAAAGCAAAAGCTACACTAAAGACAAAGAGCTAGTGTTTGATAGGCACAGAAATAAATTGTTGTTGTTAATTTCGTAAGTATGAAGCATCTGGCACTTCAACTGCAGTTGAAACGGAGCAAAATGTAATCCCCAGGAGCACTAACAAGGTTTCCGAGAGGCCCAGGAGGATCTCAGAGTGGAGCTCTGAAAAGAGTCTCCATCCTTTTCAGGCATTGCCCACTGCTCTCACCTCTTTCAGCTCACCTCTCTCTTCAAGCCTCAAGCGCTGGTGTTGCCATGGCAGCCTTTTCTTTGCCTCTGTCCAGCCCCCACCCTTCTTCCAGTAATCCAATCACCACCTATAAATCCTTTCGCTGGCATCCGGGGTCTCTTAGGCAACAATGTGTGGTCTCTTGATTGGTCAAGAGATTCGGAAGGGTTGGCTCCAAAACTCGGCCTACGGACGTTAAAAAGCCCGACGCCAAGAGGGTGGGAGGGGCTGCAATCTCCCGATATAATGCTGGGAGAAAGATGTGTCCAATCCTAACACAAGCAGCACTGACAGGCACTCAAGACATATTTGTGTTCCAACTGAGGTCGACCTACTGAGCATGCCCAGTTATATTTCTCTGGTCATTCCGGGGCTCCGAAATGTAAATTCCACTTTTCCGGGTTTTAAGAGTGGCCAACAGGTAAAACAGGGCAGGAGGAAAAAGAACTCGCCGCTGGTTCAATGGAAGAATAGCACCTGCAACCGGAAGTGGAAGGACGTGGGAAAATTGCCCAACAAACAAACTCACAAATGCTTCAACATGAATTTCAACAGGAATTCAGGCTGACTGACAGATACACCAGGGAACCAGCAGATGGCATGGCTTAATAAGAATAACTACAAATTTCGAAAATTTTACAGCCCGGTCTAATTTAATTAAATCTCTTGAGCACCCGCCATGTAATAAGGGGCAGAGTGAGAACACAAGGCTAAAAAAGATCTAATGAGAAAGACTGGAAAATGCAGTGTGTAAATAACAAATATAAGGCCCACATTGATAACTGTTGTGATAGAACTATAAACACGTGCTGGAGAACAACCCAAAATTCAAAATTCCAGACGGAGCTACTTCAGTAAATATAAAGCAGTTCCTATGGGCAGCAGGTAACAACAACAAAAAGACAAAACAAAAACCCCCCAAACCTTCACTATCTTATGCTTCCTAAAGTAGATAAGAATACGCTCTCCTCCAACTTAAACAAATGTAAACCTATGTTTGTATTTTTTCATAGTTTTGAAATAGGCAGCATTTGTATATCTCCAACTTGAAATAGAAGAGTGAAGCTCATAGAGATTGTTGCTTCCCTTTAGTTAACAAAGGATCTGTAAGTGGCCAAACTGAAATTAGACCTAGGTTGTCTGAATTCCAGCCTAGTGGTTTTTCCACATGATCAGGTTGTATGTAAATGAATAAACAAAGCCTTTGGTGTGGGGTAGGGGTCTGGGGGAGGCAGTCAACGCAATACTAAATTACCATGTACAGTATTACCAGTTAACATTTATAGTCTCAAAACGGGTTCATCCAGAAAGAGACCAGTTTTAACAACATGCTATGTCTCTCTGTGAAGTTCCCACTCATTAAAAACTTTCTATTGGTGGTTACAACATGGTATGAAAGAGAGATGGGATAAAAGAAACCATCTCACTTTATCCTTGTTGAATTTGCATAATTTTATACCTGAAAATAAGCTGCCTGTCGACTGTCCTCTCAACCAGCACCCTCTGGGCATCTGCTTATCCAGCACCTCATCCGTCTAACTGCAGATGCTCCCTTCCCCTCTGACCTGAATGACATCAGTCAGGCTATGTTCATAGTGAACACACCAGCTCAATGTCTGAAATACTTCAACATTACTTCAAACATAAAGATAAATTTAGAGACTACATAAGAAACACCCTTGTATCCCCACCAAAAATTTTAAAAATATTAACATTGTTGCTTCATGTGTGTGATTAACAGTCAGAAGCCCCTTTTGTATACTTTACAGATCTGATTCCCCTCTTTGCCTGTCTAGAGGTAACCACTATCTATGAAATTGGTGTGTAGCCTACTTGTCCATTTTGTTATGCTTTTTATATGTAAGCATAAACAATATGGCTAGATGTTTTTAAAGAGATACGATAATTTACGTATCCTGTAATTAGTTTTTTTTTTTCTAAGATTTTATTTATTTATTTGACAGAGAGAGAGACAGTGAGAGAGGGAACACAAGCAGGGGGACTGGGAGATGGAGAAGCAGTCCTCCTACTGAGCAGGCTGGGCTTGATCCCAGTGACCTGATCCGAAGGCAGATGCCTAACGACTGAGCAGATGTCCCTAGTTTGCTTTTGTCAATGTTATATTTTTGAGATTTAATCATGTTGATACATGCAGTGATAATTTCTACATCACTCCCACCTTCCCATTAGAGGTATGATATGTCCTATGCCTGACAGTTTTCATGGGATGGTGTGTGAATTGCATAAAAATACATTAGCTGCACATCCTCAGAGGTTCTGCAAGTACAAAGGATCTGGAAATACATGAAGCAAGCACACACAGATTTTCACATACTCGATTTGCCTCCTCACTCACCCTCAGAAAAGGCAGTGTTGACTCAACAGGACATACTGACTTGCTTAGAATCAGCTGAAGGATCAGTATTACTTAAAAAAAAAAACTGTTACTGCACAAATATTTACTAATTGAAATGTCACTTCAGTCTCATTTATTATGCTTTTCCCCATAGTTCACCATCTGATGTTAAACTATATTTATGACTGTCTAAGCTCAATACTCATTATTTATTTATTTAACACTTATTGAGTACCTTTTAAAAATTGTGGTAAGGGGCGCCTGGGTGGCTCAGTCGGTTAAGTGGCTGCCTTCGGCTCAGGTCCTGATCCTGGGGTCCTCGGATCGAGCCCCGCATTGGGCTCCCCGCTCAGCGGAGAGCCTGCTTCTCCCTCTCCCTCTGCCTGCCACTCTGCCTACTTGTGCTCTCTCTCTGTCAAATAAATAAATAAAATCTTTAAAAAAAATAAAAATAAAAAAATAAAAATTGTGGTAAAATACACTTCACATAAAATTTACCATTTTAACCATTGTTTAAGTGTACAGTTGAGTAGTGGCAAGTATATTCACATTGTTGTGCAACAGGATCAATATTACTTTAAGACCCATGTGCTATCAACAGAACAAAATGATGCCTGTGACATCTAGCTTGCAAAGGGAGGAAAAGGAAGCGAAAGGTAGGTAAAACAGCATAGTAAAAAGGACACTTTGGCTTTGAATGAATCCGGACTCCTATTAAAAAGCTGCGTGACCCTGGGTAAGTCATTTAACCTTTCTGAGCGTTCTTTTCCTCGTCTGAAAAATGAGATATTGGGTTTAGATGACTTTTAAGAACTCTTTCAGCTCTGAAATGATTTATGTAGGAGGGAAACATTTTCTACGGAGAAAAAGATGGAGGAATGCTACCAATAACCACAAGCTCCACCTGTGCACTAAGGTGTTGGCCACGCGGATACAAACTGTTCCCAGGCAGGTATCCAGTCGGCTCTGTTGTTTAAGCATGAAGCTCTGCAACAGGCCAGACGCTTACTCCTATCTGCACCCAGTGCCACCCTCAACATCCGTAACCTTACTCTTCACAACTCCAATCCCCGGGGGTCCCTAGGTCAGCACACTCGTTCTCAGAACAGGTTTTGGCGGTCTTGCAATAACAGCAACCCGGGCTTGGGTGATGAGTCGCCGCGCTTTCTCAGCAGGGAAGGTAGGGCTTTGCAAAGAGGACTGAGTGCATTTAAGAAAAACGTTTCCAGAGTTCGAAAGCCCTCCGCCGGGGCAGGACAGTGCAAGGGGTCAGCCGAAGCACGAGGTAGAGAACAACCCAGCCCAGGGAGCCGATACCTCTCAGCCGGGCTCAAAATGGGAGCGTTTGGTCGAGTGTGCGCAGCGCGCCTGCGTCGTGCGTGCGCGCGCGGGCTTGCTCGCTCCCCGGGCCGCGCGCGCCGGCGCTCCGGAAAGCTCGCGTTCGCTCCGAGGCGGCGCGCGCTGTTGGTCCTCGCTGGCTCCGTTTACCTGAGGGACCCGCGGCCGCCCCGGGCCGGCGCTGCAGCCCCCTTGGAGCCCGGCCCCGAGGTGTGAGGTGAGCGACGAGGCGTGCGGCTCCCCGTCCGGCTTAGCTGGAAAAGGGCGCGGGCAGTGTGGGGAATGAGGAGGTGTCGCCGCGGCTGCCCGCTCCTCTGCCTAACCCTGTGCTTAAGGAGCCACCAGCAGCTCCGGCACCTCCTCCTCAGGGATCGTTATTCTCGTCGCGGCCAAAACAAAAGCCTTCGGCGCCAGGCTGTGGCGGGGTGTCGGGAGGGGCTCCTCGGGACCCACGGCGGGCCGGAGGGGTGCGGAGGAGCCGAGTTTGGGGTGCGGGCTGAGGTGGGCAAATGCTCGGGAGATTATTAACCCTCTGCATCCTAAGCCCGCTCTGGGCAACCTGTGCGAGTGTGGACCACGGCTCCCTCTCCGCCACCCCCGGCCCAAACCCTAGGCGGAGGAGGACGTCTGGGGTGGGCGCCCACTCCGTGGGTCGGCGCCGCGGGGGCGCGTGGCGCTCTTCGCTCGCGGGAGCGTGGGTGGAGGACGAGGTGGCGGCGGCGGTGGCCGGGGGGAGGACAATGCATCTAGGGCTCCGGCGCCCCGGGCGCTTGGGGCGGGCCCGAGACCCACGTTAGAATTGCCCCTTGCCTAGATGTTGTTTTAGCATTTGGCCGACCTCTTATTTCCAACGCCTAAAAGTTGTCCCCTCCATCCCATCAGTTTCCAAAGTCTGCACTCCCAAATGCTTCCCCCAGCTGCCCTCTTTTATGCTAATGTGTATTTGCCGTGAGGGTACTGCTGGGTAATTAATAGATGGCCTCTCAAATAAAGGTGCTGTAAAAAACATTTCAAGACATTTTAACATCTTCCCAGAAGCTCGTTAAATCTCAGGAGTCTTGGAGTTAGGTGCCTCCTTGTAGGAGAAAGAGGGCTTTTTTTTTTTTCTTTTTTTTTTTTTAGAACAAAAGCGCATGCCATTAATTTAGGTATGGGATAGATTTGAAGTTGAAAAATATCTACCCGATAAAGGAGGTCCAATTTTTTGCCCAGAATTAAAATGAAATTTTGAATTTTGGTTCCTTTCTGAATTTGGGCAGATGCAGCAGCAGAGCAGAACAACAGCTATAAAAATGCTGTATAAAAGTATCCAAAACAAAATCTTATTTTATAAAAGTAGTTTTGACAGACTGTAACGTTTATTTGCGGGAATTGGGTTACTTTGCAAAGCCAATACCGCAAGAGCAAGGAAACAAAGACCTGAATGACATGAGGGATGTTACCTCCCTCTTTAACCTTCTTTTAGTCTTTAGTGGTGTGCTGACAGTCTAAGGAATAGATAAATCCTTAATTCTGTTATTAAGAAGCAAGATAATGCTTCCCATCCATACTTTTAAGCAAATCAATACTATCTTTTTCCTCCAGGAAAAAAAAAGGGGGGGGGGACATTTACATGAACTACCAAACCACAGCATAAGGGTAAAAAGATTCAGAGTTAGGGAAAGTAGGAAAGAGGCGTGAAAGCTTAATGGGTGGGCTTGAAGGGATGGAGTTGAAGATAAAATATAATTAAGATGCAGTTCTCGTACCCTCTTGCCTTTTATTTAGTGAAATAACATGTTCCTCCTCTACCCACCAGATGTTTTGAAGCTATCAGGAGAATAAGTAAATAATAAAATCTACCATCCTGCCTTCTCTTTCCTACTATTTTTTTTTTTTAAATCTCATCCACTTACTAATATTCTCTACCTCTACACTTCTAAATCTATAACAGTGTCCCATTAATAGTAGAAGAAATGACTTTTGGGCTCTTTCATTCTTTTCCCCATCTTAGCTACTATATTTTTTTGAGCTTTATTTTGTGCTTTGAACATTTAGGTAGATTTTTCTTGGGAGTTCCATGATTGAGGTATTTGAAGTAGGGAAGGTTGAGAGGAATTTAATAAAGTGCACATTCTTCCTTTGTATAGTACAGTGTGGAAGTCTTTGTCATTGGGGAAGGAGAAAGGAGTTTTTCACTCCTAAGTCCTCTGTTTCCCACTTCAGGAAAAACTCTCTCTACCCATCTTAAATTTCATATTACTTTGTTAGTAAAACTACGAGATTGTATACTCAAAAGTAATTCTGAGCATATTAGTTTGTTGATATTAGGCTTCTGTTGACTTTATTTTCTTTAGGAAATGTGGTAGGAAACAGTTCTTACATCTTTACCTTTCATAGAGGAGAGTGATGTTGGTGTCATGTTTTATTTATTTTTTAACTCCTAAAACTCTAGAACTGTGGCTGCTTAAATCTGTAGCTGCCCACAAAAAGAGCAATAATGCAAATAAAAAGAATGATTTGGAAAATGTTGAAGAAATTATTCAATATAGATTTGAGGAAAGAGTAACAGCTCTTTACTGGCTAGGAAGGAGTTTTAACTGATGATTGCATCAAATGCTTTTCACTTCATTATCCTGAGAACTATTGACACTTGGTGGATCCAAGGATTGAAGTATATAACTAGGCTAGTGAGCTTAAAAAAAAAAAAAGTCCTGGTTTCTAAATTTTATCTCACTGAAATAATTTTATAGTCAAAGTATACAAACCTTGCTAAGGGAGAAAGTTGGGCTTGATATTAGGGGATTTTTCTGATGAGTAGATCTTAATTGGAAGGGGAAACTGGGCTGGAATTTCAATCCAATTTTTTTTTTAGTTCAGAATCTGGTCATCTTTTAACTTTCCATTTTGTTTTTTTGAAGATTTTATTTTGTAAAGTAATCCCTACACCCAGCATGGGGCTCAAACTCACAACTCCAAAATTAAGAGTCACGTGCTCCACCCACTGAGCCAGCAAGATGCCCCATTAACTCTCCATTTTTCTTTTCAGGTTAGTTTTAAAAGATCTTCTGCTTTCTTTAGTCTTAAAAGTAATTTTTAATTTGTAAAATGGACTGGATTTTGATCCAGTCATTGATGCCTATCATTCACTTTAATTTTGAACCTAGATGTGTTTGTTTTTCCTGTTTGGTTTTTTTAAGCCCTATCATCACTCAGCACATTGGATGGTTGGGTTATTTGTGGAAATAGGTAGATGCCCAGATGGACTTTAAAAATTAGAGAGATGAAATAGAGCAGAAAAGGGATCCTCATTCAGAGATTAATAGGAATCTAAGCCCTATGAATTAAATATGAAGCTATATAAACTTAGCAACCAGGAAACAAAATTTTGAGAATGAATTCATTTTTAAATAATAAGATGTGGAAAACAAAAGGCCAGAGGACGCGTGGATTTTAGGAAAAGGAAAGTAATACTTAGCACAGTGAATATGCTCTGAGTGTATATTTTGTTTCTCTTACAATACAGTAATTTCCCTTAGAGGAGATACTTCGTTATTTAGAGGTAGTCATTGCTAATCCTTGCAGTGCATTCTTGGAAAACTGAAAGAAGGCAAAGAATATCGCCCCTCTTCCGACTGTAGCCACTGTGTGTGAGGCAGCCTTCGGATAGTATTTCTGAATTGGAGATGCAAAATGTTGTTTATATTTATAAGGGGTTAAGAAAATTAAATCTAAATCGAGAATAATGAAATGGATCATTTTCTGTACAAAAAGTATGAATTGGAATAGAATTACTGAACCTAATCTTTTGCAGGACCCTCTTCACAGCCCTCAGGACCTACTTTGTCAGTATTTCTTCAGGATTCAGCCTGCTTTCCTCTTCACAGTTGCCACCTCCTGCTTTTCCCACCTAAGTTCTTTGGGTCTGGTTTCGCAGCCAGCCTGGAAAGACAGTCTTCCAAAATTGAATCTCCTACCCCTTTATTGCTGTTGTTCAGGACAAATACTCAGCTTATTTTAAGGGCTTTTACAATTTAACTGGTAATTAGGGAGTATCAGATTCCTGATATTACACATTTATAAAAATTAGATGTCCTTTTGTTTTCTGATGGAATGATAATCAGGCAACTTAATCAGTTTTCCATGTATCTTACATTGCTCTATGGAGAAGTGAGTGTGCCTCTCTTCCCACAGGTAGGGCGTGAACAGCTGTTGCCACATCACTCACTTTTTGATGGCCCCTGGCCCCTGAAGCTGTTTGCTCCAGTTATGTTCACTCAGCAGGTCCCTTTATTTATTTGAGATACTGCAGATTCCGATAGTAAACAGTATCAGTAAGAATGCCAAAATGACTCTTAACCTTTGTTTAATGAGTTGCTCTATTTTGGCAGGACCTCTTTGGGTCCAGGATCTTCTCCATTTCCTGCAGGTCTGGAACTTCAACTTACAGCTTTTCCATAGATGACCCTACCTTAGGAAAAATGACTTTTGTACCCACACAATCTTGTTTAGAAGTGGTATCTCATTGTTATTGAAGAGCAATTTGGAATATCTATCAAAAGTTTGTTTAAAATGTGCCTACTATTTGATTCAGCTGGTCGGTGATCTGATTTTTATCAATACTGAAAATCAGTTTTTACTCAAACTACAATAATTGATCATCATTTTTTTCCTTTTCTTACTGCCTGCAATAGGGCATTAGAGTGTCCCTTGGCTTGTTGCTTAATTAGCAGCCAATAAATCAGTGATTCAACTAGTATTTATTCTTGTTAGCTAGTCAGCACACATTGGGAGGTTTATCAGAGTTAATTATTCCAATATACAGAATAATGTACCGTAGGTTCTTTTATAAAATCTCAGAGCATTTATAATATATTTAAGCCATTGAAATGGTTTTATTCTGTGCATATATTTTTTGACAGAAATGGGATATGTATGCTGTTTAGAAAATTGTTTTAATTTTATTTTTTACTTACTGTATTGTTACGTCTTACCATGTCAGTAAATAGAGATCTTGCTCATCATTTTTAGTGACTATATAATATTCCGCCATGTGGTTGTACCATAGTTTTTTTTTTAATGAATCCCTTATTGGTAGACTTTTCAGTTATTTCTAGTTTTTTATTTTATGAACAGTGTTACTCTCACATATATTGGTTATGCATCATGTGTACTTGTGTGCTTACTTAGAATAAATTATAGATTTGTTGCATCAGATTGTGCACATTTTAAGGGCTTTTGAGGTAAGTAGCCGTTTTTAAAATACCAAGCGGTTTACAGTAGTATTTCTAATTGTTGGAATGTTGAAAATGTTCTTTTTTCTGCATCCTCTCCCATACTGTGTTCTTTCATTGTTATTTCTGCCTGTCTGGCAAAAATGTTCTCTCATATTTGCATTTTTTTATTATTAGTAAAGTCGAATATCTTCGTGTGTTTGTTGGTTATTTGTTCATTCATAAATTTATGTCCTTTTCCCATTTTTCTATTAAAGTGTTATTTATCTGCTTTTATTTTTTAAATTTGTTTTAGGTATTACTTTCTCTAAGCATAAAATTATATTTAAATATACCTGTACTCTTTTTTTTTTTTTAAGAATTTATTTATTTATTTGACAGAGAGAGACAGCTAGAGAGGGAACACAAGCAGGGGGAGTGGGAGAGGGAGAAGCAGGCTTCCCGCTGAGTAAGGAGCCCGATGCGGGGCTCGATCCCAGGACCCTGGGACCATGACCTGAGCCGAAGGCAGACACTTAATGACTGAGCCACCCAGGCGCACCTGTACCTGTACTCTTTTAAATTACTCTATCTTAGGGTAGAATTTCTCAAAACGTGACTTATGGACCATTTGTAACAGTACCTGAGGTGACCGTTAGAATGTAGTTCATTCTCCAGAGATTCAGATTTCTAGACTTCTAAGGGGAACCATGAATCTACCACACATTAAAATTGGAGAACCTCTTATTTGGAGGAAATATAAATTGTTTTAAGATTTTTAGTGCCTTATTTTCTTTTTGTCTTACTGAATTCACTTTTTATTTCAATAATCATAAACTACAGTCTTTTTTAAATTTTTTAAAATTTTTTAAAGATTTTATTTATTTATTTGAGAGAGAGAGAGTGAGAGATAGAGAGCACGAGGGGGAAGAGGGTCAGAGGGAGAAGCAGACTCCCTGCTGAGCAGGGAGCCCGATGTGGGACTCGATCCCAGGACTCCAGGATCATGACCTGAGCCGAAGGCAGTCGCTTAACCAACTGAGCCACCCAGGCGCCCCATAAACTACAGTCTTAAAATATTAAGATTTTCATCTTACTCCAGCCTAACAGTAGATTTTACAGAAGTGTTTTGATATATGGTAATTTGGGTGTTGTATTACATAAAGGAAACTTTTATAAGACAGTGGGAAGCTTCACTTGTACATGAGGCAAAAGGAATAATTTAGAGGAAATCAGGTAAAATAAAGTAGGTAGAAGTATAAGGGGGTGTTCTCTAGTTTTAAAAACCCAATGAGGTATTTCTCATTCCTTCTTTTATATGGTAGTCTTCCTTGAACCCACAAATTTGAAACACCTGTTTGAAAAATTAGTTTAGGGGCACCTGGGTAGATCAGTCCATTAAGCATCTGCCTTCCGCTCAGGTCATGATCTCAGGATCAAACCCCGCACTGGGCTCCCTGCTCAACAGAGAGCCTGCTTCTCCCTCTTCCACTCCGCCTGCTGTGCACTCTCTCTCTCTGTCAAATAAATAAATAAAATCTTTAAAAAAAATTAGTCTAAACGAAATTTGAAAAATTCTTTAGTCTAAATGAAATTTGAAAAATTATTGGTATTACTATGTATATATTCAAAAAAGGAGCAATGTTCTCTTTTTTTTTTTTAGTTGCAAGCAGATGAACATGCTGCATAAGCAATAAACTACAAAGACTGAACTTACATGGATATTTTAATACTGTAACCAAATAAAGCTTTCAGTAGTTATTTGACACATATTTAATGATATGCATAATTGTTACTGTGTTGCACGTAATTAAGCTTAAATATGAACGACTGTGTTTACTACCAGTTTTCTATAGCCAGACCTCACATTTCTGGGGCCAGCTTGAAGGAGGAAAAAAATATGGCAGGCCAGAAAGCTGTCAAAAGATCTCTGACTTAGAGATTTTGCAGAGAGAATAGTCATTTGGGGCAGAGATTGCTCCTAACTTTAGTATTCCTAATTCTTAGTATTCCTAATTCATAGACTCCTTTTCCCTTCCACCTCTCAATACCATGTACTAGAGGAAGAAATTGGAAAGATTCAGCCACTGCTTTATTTTCTCCAAATAATTTTTTCTACTTAGTAACTAAAGCTTGGGATGCAGAGTTCCCAGGCATTGATAGTGAACAAAGAACAGTTTCTTTCCCTGCATCAGTGAAACCAGTCCGGGTCTCAAGGTCTGAGCCATCATGGGCTTTGGTATTTAAGTTGTCCTATTAACTTGGGTCTCTGAGAGTTTCTGAACCTGAACTCATGTTTTTTTGAACATAGGCTGTCCCCAGCAAACACAGAAATAACCAATGTATATAAAACAAAATGAAATTAAATTTAACATCATTATTAAGCCAAATGAAAGTATGATAGCTTAGTAAATGCTTTTTCCTTCCAGACCTACCTTTCATTCTGCCCACACCCTCTCAGCCCCAAATAAGATATGTATTCTTGCCCCTGGAAAAGTAGGGGCAAGTCAAATAATCTAAAGCTTAGTGGAAACTGTACTGGGAATCATCCCTATTCCTGCTGTGATTTTTTTTTTTTTAGGGATTTTTTTATACTCTGCAGCCTGGCTGTGCAATGAAACATTTGTTAGTCAAATATTTCTACATCTATGATACCGTTTTTGCACTATCTAAAATGATGATGTAATGTTGGAAAAATTTCTTGGTAGTACTTTTAGAACCTTCTATTTGCCAGTTCAGTATTGGTTGATGGAGATAGCCCTTGTATAACTGTCATTTAGTAATAAAATTACCTAATGTTTGATGCTGCTTTACCATTTTATAAAGTACTTTTACATATATTATCTCATAATTGACTCAGATAGCATCCGTGTAAAAGAGAGTATTTTCAGGAGGAAAATTTCTGAGTTCAGAGAAGTTAAATGATATGTTTACACTTACACAACTAATAAGGAACTTAAATTCATATCTTTCAATTTATTTATATTTCACTGTTTTCACAGATACCTTCTGCCAAGTGAATTAATGTAAAAATGCACTATTAATGATTAAAATACATATAAATTTTAAATTCAATAGTTTTGGTTATAAATATGGCAGATATTTAAAGATTTTATTTATTTATTTGTCCAGGTATGGCAGATATTTAAATTTAGTACAACAGCATAAGAACTTTTCAAAATGGATCAATTATATCTTGTGACAAATGAAAACTGCCATTCTAGATAAGAAATTAAACCATATGTTATATAAACAATTGAAGGAAGAAAATTTGCCTTTAAATTCTGGTTAAGGATTGTTTTAGTATATCTATAGCATAAATGATAAAGTAGAAAAACTATACTATGTCTCTGAAATACCCATGTATTTTATCTATGAGATCAGTATGATATCTCTCATCAAAGATTGTTTTCTTTATTTCTCTTTCTCATAGTTCGTTGTTGGTGTATGGAAACACAACTGATTTTTGTATATTGATTTTGTATCCTGCAACTTTACGGCACTCATCAAAGACTTTAGTATCAAGACTACAATATTTTGAGAGGAAATTACTGATATCTCCCATTAAAAAAAGTACTTTTCAGATATTTCAGTGAAAGGAAGAAATAGCTCTTCTCCTAAGATGGAATCTATTGTTTGGGAATGTGGTTGATCAACTTGATATGTTGGCCAAATGTGCCCTATGTAATAAAATGAAAAGAAGAGACAAGATGATGTCATTTTCCCGTATTGTGAAACCAAAAACAAATGCCTTTTGTGAGACCAAGCTAAGAAACCTCTGACGGTGCAAAGAGTATTTAACTGTTTGAAGAACTTAACAGTAAGATATAGAAGAAATACTTTCAAGCTGAGACCTGCAGGTGTATAAAGATCTAAAATACATATTGAGTAGGCCTGATCATCCAAATCTCATTCAGATCCAGGAAGGATGGCTATGAGTTGGATCGTCTTCTACTTTTGGCCCTTGACTATGTTTGTGGGACATACAGGTGGGCACAGTTTGTTTTCTTGTGAACCTATTACCTTGAGGATGTGCCAAGATTTGCCTTATAATACTACCTTCATGCCTAATCTTCTGAATCACTATGACCAACAGACAGCAGCTTTAGCAATGGAGGTAAGACTTGATCTATTATTTGACATATCTTAGACGATGATTCTTATATTGTCTTATTAACTAATCTAATGAATGTGTCTGATTAAAAAAACAGAAGAATGTTATTTTTAACTATATCTTGTATATTAAGAAGTTATATATTTAGGTTCAAGCTCTAATAGATTGAAGAATTCATGTTTGGGGAGCGTTACTCTTGACCTATTTTTAGATATGCTTTTATAAAGAAATATGAAACCCTGGAACATGGGAGATAATAGCCATTCAGAAGTTTAAAATTGTCCATGTTATGATATGATTACATTTTTTCTGTTTGGCTGTTAATAAAATCTCAGATAAAGAGTAGAATATAATAATAGTCACAGTTCAGTCCTTAAGTATTGAAGGTAATGTGATCTTGTAAAATAAGTTCTTTGTTCAGCCTATAGGCTGGTGGTTTATGGTATTTGAATTTTCTTAAAATCTTAAAAAATTTTTCTGGTTTTACCATCACATCAATTTAAGAATTATAACCCCTGATGAACAAAAAGGTTTGGTTGTATAAATTATCTGTTCTTGACCTCTCCAAATTTTATGAAAATGTATTGCCTTACCTGAATTTTTCTAATGGTAATTCTTCAGGTAACTTTTTAATGATTTTACTTTAGAAACTATGACAAATTAATGAATATAGTTAACAATAGGTTTAAATAAGTATGCATGCATTTCTATAAGGGTTTTAGAATTCTGAACAAGGATAATATGTTTACAGGATAGGAACTAGGAGGCAGTAGGTGGTGGCAATAGGGAGCATAGGCTTTGGAGTTATACAAACCTGGGTTTGAATTCTAGCTCTACCATTTTCTAGTTTTATTACTTTGAGTAAATTATGTGAGCTTTCTTACCATAGTTTCTTTGCTTGTAAAGTGGAGCTAATATACAGAGAATGTTTTGTAGTTTAGTCTGTAATCTATTGTTATAGTGCTTTCAGCACATTGAAGCCTACATGTTTTGGAAAGCTTCATTTTATGGTAAAACCCAAAGACTCATTAGTTCCAACTAGACTACCTAAATTTGTCTAGGAAAATTTGTAGAAGGATTATTGTTTATAGATTTTGAAATGTGGAGGGCATCTTATATATTCCAAATATATGAAAATATTATAGAGGTTGAACAAAACATTTTCTGCTCTTCTGACTATATAAGGTCTAATGGTATAGACTATCAGATTAGGTTATGAAAATGGCTATTAGTTTAATACATGAATTTGGTTCTGGACATAGTAGTCCTTACTGTGTATTAAACCCATCAATTCTCTTACAAAAAAAAATTGGAGTAGGAATACCTTTGTTTTTAGTATCATTAAGTCAGTATAACTCCTTTAAAAAGCAAATAGGGTACTAAGATGCAAGTCATCAAGATATTTGAACTGATTTGGGTTCGATTTTTGTCTCTGCTTTGTAGTAGCTTTGGACTTCGAACAAGTCACTTAACAAGTCCCTTAGCCTTGGTTTCTTCATTTGTGAAAAGGCAGTACATAACAAAAAACCTCGAAGGGCTGTTAGGATTAAACTTATAAAGTAGCTAGCAAAGTGTATGGCACACAGTAGGTTAATTTCAAATGTTAATTCTATTCCAAATATCATTTCTAAATGATCCTAAAGAGAAAGTACTAGAAGGATAATGTAATTGTTCCAAGTGACCTTGCATTCCAGGTGTAGGCTCTTGGGACATTCATAATAATGGCATAGTAAGCTATCACTGCCCTCTTCCCAGAGTTGCCTATGCAGTCTAGATATTTTATTGGTAATAAGATTGCTTCTGTTTAAATTCCACGTATTCTGGGGAGAGCACCAAAGTGGGCAATATCTTCTAAGAGAAAGCTCTAGTTCTTTGAAGTAAATAATGTTGCAGATAGTTGTTTGTTGCATGGTTGTCATATCAGGACACTGACACCACTGACAGAATTGTCAGACAGTTTGAGAGTGTAAAGTTTCTGTAATGGCAAAGGGCATAGAAACTCAGCAGTTTCCACCCTTCCAGATGGAAGTAAGGATTCTTTGGTTCTTACAAGGGCTCGAATCTGCTAATGATACCTTCTGTCTCTGATCTTAGAATGTATCTGTCAACTTTTACCAGGAGCAAGTAATTGGAGCAAACAATTGAAGCACATTTTTGAGTGTTCTCTGTGGGACAGGGTGAATTGAAAGATAATTTCTTAGGGCTAGCATCTTTCTGCTGGCCTGTATGTCAAGCCTGCCTTGGGTTCACTCCTGTACTGATTTGGTGAATCATAATGAGTGCCTGTAATAGAATAGTATATGGCAGTGAGCTTAGGATACCACAGATGAGAGAAAGTACAGAATCTGGGTTATTTCAAATATGACTGTTTACAGTCAGTTTGCTGTTCTTTCATTGTAGGTATAAGATCCTTTGTACTTTCATTGAAATTGGGACATGTTTAAATAAATGAAATAATGTAAGTGTCAAGTCATTAAGTTGGAAAGAAAAGATCTTTGCTAATATGTTTATTATTTCTCTGTCTGTCCCTTCTAAAACGTAGTCATCTATACACAAACACACAACTAAATTTTTATGAGTTCTTAACTTGGTATCTTTTCCCCTATCAGTGGCTTTTGATCGAAAAAAAAAATTCTCATTCCTGAGTTTCCTAAACCATTTTGAGCTGTCCAAATTGCTAAGTTAATTTTTGGGAGCTGTCCAGCATGGACAACAAATTGTTAGTAACTGTCTTTACCAACCACACATTATTAGGTATTTATGACTGCAGTAGTAATGAAAGAGATCTGAACAGCCTTTCCCCCTATGCTGGATAATTAAATACAGTTGAATAGGAAGGAGACAGTTTAGTGAAAAAAGCATTGAAATGGGGCAGGAAATTTGTATTTTGCTGCTAACTAGTTTTGTAACTTCTTTATGTTGGTTTCCTCTAGGAAGTAAATTTTTTTCCCTATCCATTTTATAAGGTTGTTAAGATCAAATGATGTGGGATGCCTGGGTGGCTCAGTTGGTTAAGTGTCTGCTTTCAGCTCAGGTCATGATCCCAGGGTCCTGGGATCAAGCCCTACATCGGGCTCCCTGCTCTGCTCAGCAGGGAGACTGCTTCTCCCCCTCCCCACCCTGCTTGTGCTCTCTCTCTCTCTCTGACAAATAAATCTTTTAAAAAAAGGTTAAATGATGTAAATGGTATGTAAATTTAAAAACTTTGAAAAGTTAAAGTGCTGTGTGAATGCAAAGCAGTAGTCCTTGTTGCCTGTCACCCTGTTTAACTTCAGTTAGTGTGTGGAACAAGCAATCATCTCTTTATGATGATGATCACTTGTCTACTTTTTTTTTTTTTTTTTAAGAATGAGAGAGAGGGAGCCCACACACTCGAGTTGGATGTGGGGGTGGGTAGAGGGAGAGAGAAAGAATCTTAAGCAGGCTCCATGCCCAGTGTAGGGCCTGATGCAGGACCCGATCCCATTACCCTGAGATCATGACCTGAGCCGAAATCAGGAGTCACTTAACTGACTGAGCCACCCAGACGCCCCTACTCTTTTTTTTTTTAAGAAACTAGACTGCTCTAGGATAATCAGAGGAAAAAACTCTTGGGATTGTTTGTGTTTGCCTCCATTTCTTGTTTTCTTTTGTCATCCTCATTAAAGATTTTCTGTAGCATGGAAAGCTGGCAGCGGGATACATCCTTCAGGGAACACAGAACCTAAAAGCTCAGTATCCTGGTATCTTTTATGATTCATTAAGAACAAAGCACATTTGAACCAGTCTTCATGTTATCCAAACTCAAACTGTAACTTAAAAAAAAAAAACACTTTTTTATTATAGATAATTTCAGTTTCATAGAACTATAAGAGCATAATGGACACCATATACCCATTACCTATCATCCAGCTTCAAAAATTATCAACTCACAGCTAGTTTTGTTTCATTTATGACTGTATATCCAACTGGTTACTTTGAAGCAAATCTCAAACACCATAGTTTCATCTATAAATATTTCTGTATATATCTCTAAAAAGTAAGAACTCTTTCAAAATGTATAAGTACCATCTTTATCACTTCCTCCATACCATCAACTCTCCAGTTAATTCAAATTACTCTGATCATTTCAGTTTTTTTATAGTTGGCTTTTCAAATCAGGATTCATATTTTGCATTCAACTGATAAATCTCTCAAGTTTCTTTTAATGTATAATTTCTCCTTCCCTTTCTTCTCTCCTTTTCTCTTGTAATATGTTTGCTCTGTAGTTTTCCATAATCTGTTTTGCTGATTGCATCCCTGTGGTTTTGTTTACCATGTTCCTCTGTCTCCTTTTTTGATTTTTTTAAAGAAAACTACATAGGCACATAATATCTGGTTGTCACTCTTTATAATTTTGGCATCCATTCATGATCATCTGCTAGATTGATACTATCATTAAAGTTTGGCAAAATGGTGATATTCTAATTCTGCATTCTTCATTTCTTAGCTGGAATGCTTTTATAAACAGAAATTTCCTCTTATTGACTATTGGGCTACAGAGTTACTCTCATTTACAGTTTGTATAAGAAAAACACTCAGATGGTGGTCTCTAAATATCATTTCCAACTAAACAGAACCAGTGCTCTCTAAAGAAATCTGATTCAGAGTTTGAGGCAGAATTCTTTTTTTTTCTTTTAAAACTGTTTTTTTTTTTTTTTTTAGAGATTTTATTTATTTATTTGACAGAGAGAGACATAGCAGGAGCAGGAACACAAGCAGGGGGAGTGGGAGAGGGAGAAGCAGGCTTCCCGCTGAGCAGGGAGCCCGATGCAGGGCTCAATCCCAGGACCCTGAGTTCATGACCTGAGCCAAAGGCAGAAGCTTAATGACTGAGCCACCCAAGCACCTCTGAGGCAGAATTTTAAGGAAAGAGTTTCTCTGGATCATACCAGAAAGCAAGGAAGCTATGACAGACTACTAGGGTAGTGTCAAAAACCAGGAGCTACCTTGAAGAGGCTCCCACTACCAAAGACAGTACAGTT